GAAAACAGTGATACTTTACATGCCCACCAGCTTCTTACCGGCAGTCCCATGCTTGCGAGCAAAATGCACAGTAGGGTGAGGCATAGAAATAAGAAGAACATGCCTGAGTATCTGTCCAGCGATCCCCATAGCGCGCCTCTCTGAAGATATCGTATTAAATCATGTCGCTTGTCGCTACTCGTTGCAGCGTGTACCATATATCACCGTGTAAAAGATATGGACCAGAAAGAAACGCGGGAAAGTAAGTCGCATGCATAAGTCGGTAGATGGAACGAGCGTGAACAGTCGGGTATCTGCTACAGCACGGTGAAGCCGAGCGTAGGTGTCGCGTTGGGAACGGCATGAGAGCACGATGTCCAAGCGCTTAGCTTGTAGACGGTGAAGGTGGAGCTGTGATGGTACGTTGGTCATCGTCATCTTGGTCCTGTTGCTGGTAGGCGCTTGCGGTGTTGTAGAGATGACTGGTGTACTGGAAGGCCTGTTGATCAGGCCCAATGCCGTAGGAGTAGGTGGGATACTGGTAGGCGTTGTTCTGATGGCCATGAAAGTTACCATAAGCCGTTTGATGGAACGAAGGTAGAACGTTCTCCTTGTTATCATACTGGAACGGGTCGTTGAAGGGTTTGTAAGAGTTGAATGCAGGTGCAGGAGATGGAGATGCTTGGTGAGTGAAGCCAGATGTAAGATAGTTCATGCCATTGGGCTGCGAGAATGGAACGTCATCCTCGTCTTGGTAAACGTCAAACTGCTTCCGCTTCGGAGCACGGTTGTTGCGGCTATGGTCGTAGCCAGGACGGCCGCGATCATCATCGTATTGGTTGCGGCTGAGGACAGGAAATACGGGCCGCTTGGACTGTCTAGTAGAGCGGCGAGTAGTGTTTGCATCAAGACTGGCGAGTGCAGGTCGCCGACGTACAGGCTGGGGGCTCTCAGTCTTGATCTCGACCTCATCCTCTTCGTCGGACTCCGAGCACGAGATCCTGCGCTGGCGTTTGAAAGATCCCAACGGTGTGAAGATGAGCTCAGTTGCTTCGACTACTTGGGAGTTGAGCTCCAGCTGTTCGACGACAGAGCTGTCCTTCTTTTGGTTCCTCTTGCGCCGCATCTCTGGGGTAGCAGAGTCGAAGATGTCCATGCCAGGCCAGTAGACACCTTTGAGTTTGGTCGACTCGCTGACAGCCATCGGATCTGCAACCTCAGCAGGTTCATCTTCAATGGCACACGAAGCCGCAGCGTTGTACCGGTATGACCTCCGACGCTGCTCGTTCGGATCGGAGTATTCACTGGAAGTATCATAGTCTGGGTTGGTATAGCTGCGAGAGCTGGCGCGAGACTCTGTAGGCCAGTACTGCATATGAGGTGCGAGGGTATTGCGATTGCGGAGGACCGGGCCGAGGGGTTGTGGCGTCGGAGAAGGCGACTGCTCTAGCTTGATCATCGTGTGCTGCTGCTCCGACAGGCGTGGATCGAGGAGAGCGCTTGCGGCGGCGCGACGTACAGGACGTGGCGCGGGGGCCTCGATCTTGAGCGGAGGCGCCGGCCGGGCTGCTTCAGGTGTAGTCAGTATCAGTCTCAAGTACAATCGGATGCAGGAGGTAGCTGTACCAGCGGGTCTCGCGCGGGTACGGCGTTTGTCCTTCTGATTCATCCGGTCCGACATGAGCTCTTCGACAGCCCATTCGGCATACCACTGGTCGTACGTCTCAATGAGCCGGCGGGACGCATCCTCGTTGGTGGAACGGACCTTGACCTTGTAGTAGTTGGATAAGTGGCCTTTGCTGGCGATGTGGGTGAGTAGATGCGAGACATCGCTGAAGTTTGGCTTCTTGGGGCAAATGTTGCAGTGAAGCGGAATGTTGGCCATGCCGAACGCCTGACGAGGCTGCACTATATCAAGGTGAAAGCTGCAGTGCGGATGCGGTGTTTGTAAGGAGCGTAAGTGAAACAAGCACAAGAGCAGCGCAGTAGTGAAAGCAAAGAGCGTTGCGAAAGGAGCGGACTGAAGGTGGAGAAGGCGAAGTGACGGTGGGAGAGGTGCTCATGAGAGACCTAGTACAGAGATGGCTGCCGGTCACCGCGGTAGCTCCTAGCCCATTTCCTGAGCGAATAATTGGAAAGCAGGAGAGGCGCCAGCACTTGTAAGGAGAAGAGAGGAAGGTGCAGTATCGCAGTGGAGGAATTGCAGCAAGAAGAGGTCTGTTGGTGGTGTTCTAGCAGGCAGAGCACGTGGGGGCTCGGCACTGACAAAAGAGGAAGCCACCCTCACTTTCCTCCCGCTTTGTGTCTCGACGCCTATGGGAGAGACGCGAGGTATTAGATAGCGAGAGAATAGGCTTTAGACGGATAATACACAGATACGAATGCAAGTGAATGGTCATGAAATATACAAGCACGATGCGACACAACTAGCATTTGTTGTTGGCATTCTCGCTTACTTACCCAAGCATCTACGGGTGACTGAGCGAGGCATGCAGCTGCGCGTTGGTTAGTATACGCGTTGAAATGCGAGAGCAGTGGTCACATACTACACGGGGTCTACCTCTTCCAGACCGGGATACTTGAGCAGACTGAGACCAGCAATTCCAAAGAGGGTGTGGAAGACGTCGACCATGTCGCCAGGTCGGTCTGCGAGACCACCCAGATCCGGATCCTATCGTTCATGGTCAGATGGCGACGATGCTAAAGAGAAGACACTACCCACCTGGCACTGTAGAATGAAACTCGTCAATTTCTGACCGTCTATCCAGTGCAACTTGTCTAGCATAGCCATGCTGCTCATGACCCACCAGCTGTAGCAGACGTCTTCCTTCTTCTCTGGCCGGCCGTTGAGGCCTCCGTTCTTGAGCTGTCGTTCGCTTAGCCAGGCGCCCAACTTTTCCTGGTTGACAAGGTCGAGTCTCCCCGCGATGGTCAGTGCGCCGACACACGTGAACACCTGACCAGAGTGCGACTCGGCCCCAGGGCTGGTACCGTATCCACCGTCAAAGTTGGCGCACGAGTTGACGTATTGAGCGGCCTTGTCGACATCTACGAGTTCAAGCAGGCCCATGAGAGACAGGGCATTTAGGGCGCCATAGAGAAAGCGGGTATCCTGCTCGCCCCACTCGTCGCCTGCAAAGGTGCCCGTCTCACGATCTTGCAAATCGGCGATGACTACCTTTATGAGTAGACTATCACGGCGAAGCTGCAGATGACTTACATTTTGCAATTTTCAGGCGGGCGCCGGGGATGCGCTCTTCAAGCTCACCGAAAGCGTCAAGCGTCGCGAGTATCTGCACGCCACTAACGGTATAGAGCATATGGGCATCATGGCCCGGCGCAGCACCGAGGCCGCCATTATCATGCAGACACGAGATGACAAAGTCGAGGATGGGAGCGCGTGGAAGGGCGTCTGGGCGGCCCAGGAGATGCAGGGCCGTCAGTCCCCAGTAGAGGCCGTTGAGGCGCAGATGTTCGGTGAGCCAGTACTCGAGCTCATCTTTGCGCTGCAGCGGGTCAGCGCGGGATTGGATGGCCGGGAGCTTGCGCGGCCGCTGGGACTGGGGACGGGCTACGCACAGTGTCGAGGCTCTGGATGTAGGCGACGTGCCTGTCGACGAAGAGGTGCATCTCGCTGGGCAGGCTGGCCATCCCAGCAGCGCGCCCGGGCCCGGAAACGAGAGATATGTTAGACGGGTGTCAGATGTGGGAGGAGTTGGTGGGAGCTGGCGGCGCGGGAGGGTCTAGTCGAGGCAGCATGGATGGCGCCGACAGGGTCTCATAATTTCTGAAACGAGACTTGGCACATGAAGCATTTCGGTCTGGCAGCCGCGACAGCCTCGCACTCGCAACAATGACGATGCAGAGGGTGCTCTTGTGCAGCGTCGATAGTCTGCCGTCGATAGTCCGTCGCCCGGCGGTGAGCACACATGCATGTTACTTAGGTAGACGGCACTACGCCCGCCGTGGACAGCCGTTTGCGATAGCGCTGGTGGGCCGAATTGGGGGGTGGTGGCAGCGTCGCGCCCTCGTACTGTACCTGGGGCCGTGCACGGTGCTGAAGTCGTTGCCGCCATCCTCTCGCAGCCCTTGGTGCCCTTTGCTCTTGATTGCAGCAGAGCCTGTCTGTGCCTTGGGCCCCTCCATCGCACTCACCACAGAGACACGTGAATTGTGTCCTTTTGCTGACCAAGGCGCCGCTCACCGCACTCGAAGCAACGGCCGCCCAGCCTGCGCTCCACGCTCCACTCGCTCCCTTCACCCCAGCGCCTCTCCCTCGTCGCGGCGCCCCGTAGACCCCTCGACCCTCGAGTCTTGTGTGTGAAAGTGGGTGAGTAATGCCCAACCACGGCGCTGCGACACCTCGCTCGCCGCTGCCACTCGTGCCCTCGCCATGTTGTACCACCGTCAACACTCGCCATAGCGCCGCCGGCCCCTTTCACGTTCCGCAGCGCTTGCTGACCACATCCCAGACGTTGCATGACCGCCTCACCTGCCCGCGACCGCCATACTCGACGACCTCTGTGCCCGCCAAAGACTGCCGTAGCACGCGCTCGGCATCGCCTGTCCTCCCGGCTTGCTGCATGGGAGCAACGTCCTGCCGGCGGTGATATAGACTCGACACCCGCTGCCGACGCTTCGAGGCACGCCCGCAGCCAGCGCCGACCAGGCTCTCACGGTTCGTACCACCCCGCGCGCCGTCTAATACCTGCCGCTGGCTTTCACCCCTCTGCGCCAGCTATGAGTCCGCTGCTGACAGTCATGAAATACAGACTTGTTGACCGCGCAACCGCCCATGTGCCGCAACCACTGAGCCTGCCACCGCTCCCTTCTCTACACGCGCCGCACCGTCTATTCACACCCTCGCTCGACTGCCTGCACATCGGCGCCCTCGTCCCACCAACACCCATCGAGGTATTGCGGCCCTCGACCTGCACGCTTGGCAGCAGCCATTGCTTTTTAAGGGAGCCGTGCTAAGGAGTCAGTAGCCCTGCGACCCTCCACGGAAAACAATACGAAAGATGCCCAAGTCCTCGACACTGTCGCTGGCTATGCGGGGCAAGCCAAAGAACAAGGACGACGCCAACGGCCCTATGAGTCCCAAAAGTCCGAGGTCGCCAGATATGCCTGAAGACCTCGACTATGCCGCTCCCAATGCCTCGTTTCATAGCATGCCACAGTCACCAGCCTCACCGAAGCCTCGCAAGGACTCCAAGAGCATCTTCTCCAACTTTAGCGCCAACAAATCGTCGTCACGCCTTAACAGCCAGGGGAACTCGATACGGCAGCTTCCTGAACAACAACACTCGCCCAGTCTATACTCCAACGGGCGCAGCGGGGCTTCGACACCAGACCTCGGCCGCCCCGTGCGCACCCCCAACTCGGATGGTATGGCTACAGTAGCCCAGACAAACAGCGTGTCGCTAACTGCCACAGACAACCGCTCCGAGGTATTACGAACAGGCTCAGGCAACTCCAACGACTCCTCCGATCCCCACGCCGACTCTTCAAAGCGCAACACTATCAAACCGAAGAAGGGCATTCTGAACAGGTCGAAATCCATCAAAGACGGCGAGAGCTCAGGTACCCGTGCAAAACTGAACAAAGCCCCACCAGGGCAACTGTCACCGGACATTGCGGGCTCGTGGACGACGAATGGTGATGGCCCGCCATTGAAGCCGGCACCCATGGACAAAGGTCAATCATGGCGAGGCATAGGCAAGCCACGAACACACTCGGCAGATCGTCAGGACGGCTCCAAGCAGATACCACGGGACGTCGACAACGGGCCACGAAGGGACAAGTCGGAGCAGATATCGCTAGCCTCGAGTTCGTACAACGAAACCAAGGGACACGGCTTCATTTCGAAACTCGGTTCAGGAGCTCGCAACATGGGGGAGAAGATGGACTCTGCCCGCAAGGGCGTATTCGGCAAACTTGGACGAAGCTCAAGCAACCATGAGAGCCAGACGCCGATATCGAATGAACCTTACGTGTGCAAAATCATCCACAAGCCGTTGATCGAACAGACGAGGCTGACACGGATATCGACCCGTCTGGAACAGTCACGCGACAAGACTGAGTTCTGGATGCCAGCTCTACCTTGGCGGTGCATAGAGTAGGTCATGCTTCGATTCGTTCTCTACTTGTGAGGCTAACAATCACTTTAGCTATCTGAACATGCGAGGCTGTGAAGAAGAAGGCTTGTACCGCGTTCCTGGGTCAGCCCAGCAGGTCCGATATTACGAACGCAAATTCGATGAAGGTAGGACCATCTCATTCATTTCCACGACAATTGCTCACCAAGCTACAGACCGAGACATCGATTTGATCAGCGATCCCAATCTGAACGACCCCAACGTCATCGGGTCACTCTTCAAGAATTGGCTCCGACAGCTGCCAGATGAAATCTTTCCAAAAGCGGTCCAGACGGCAATCCAGCAAGAATGCCAGGGCGCCAAGACCACGCCGCAAATGCTTAAGGATGAGCTCTCGAAGCTCCCACCATTCAACTACTACCTATTGTTCGCGATTACCTGCCACATCAGCCTGTTGCACTCATGTTCCGAATTCAACAAGATGAACTACAATAACCTGTGCATCTGTTTCCAGCCAGCTATCAAGATCGACGCCTTTTGCTTCCAATTTCTTATTCTGGACTGGCGAAACTGCTGGCAGGGTTGTTGGACGGAGAAGGACTTTTTGACAGACGAAATCAACTTCCTGAACCATGTACAAGAAGTTGAGTCCCAGCAACAGCAACAACAAGAGCAGCAACAACAGCAACAAGCACAGCACCACCTACAGCAACAACAACAGACTCCATCCAGAAACGGCCCGCCTCAAAGCGCTGGGAGAAGTAAAGGCACGAACTCGCCCCAGGTGCCGCCTCCGAAGAAGCCGGCGACGATGCGGAGTCAGTCTACTGACCATGTCAAGTCATCCTCACGAGGGCTTTCATCTGAGAGGAATGGACGCGCTACACCACCGAACCCTTCACTGGTCTTGTCGGAACCCTCAAGCAACCCCGTTTTACGTATGCGGGGCGGCGGCTATAGCGAGCGCGAGACGTCGCCTGAGCGAGTCACGTCGTCTTCAGACAGTCGAGAGGGGGTTCAGCATGCGAGAAGCACACCGCGTGCGCCCCCGTCGGTCAGCACCGAAGCGTCCTCGATCGATTTAGATGAGAATGCCACGCCGACTCAAGCACAACATAGTCGCGGGCCGTCTGAATCGACGCAATTTCGACTGGACCTGCGCGATCCACCGGGCTCCCCCTTCAACATTAAATTTTGACGCGGAAGCTGAGAAGACAGCGGACCATGTGTTGAGCGCCTCTGGATGAGGTGACGATAGAAGAAGGTTGGATTTGACTGCTTGGTTTTCGCATGTTCGCTTCGTCCCGTGTGGGCTGCCACGAGGTCGCGATACCCATCGTTTGACCACTCTGAGCTCGTGGCAGCAGTATTGCCCGATAATTGTTTAGTAGCCAGCGCTGGAGTTTTGGCCGCGTATTGATTAGCTGCTTATTTAACCCTGCATTCTGCATTATGTTGCATACGGGCGTTGGGAGAGCGGGGCAGGAAGAAGTAGCATTTTGAGCGGGTTCATTTGTATCATATGTGGATATCGTCGCATGGCAGAAAGCGTTTCCATGGCAGTTTCAACGTGTTCAACAATTTCCCTCGTACCAACTGGATCGAGTTGGGACGCATGCCTAGCCCCCGCGCTATTGGAGTAGAACCTGTCGAGGACGGGGCCACCTGGGGCGCCAGCTGGGGTTGGAGCTTGGGGCAATGACGTTTCCCGCGGGTTGCGCTTGCGGCTCGTATGCTTCGCGACCGCCCACCGCCGATCTCACACGTCTCCAGGCGCTGCTTCCTTCTCTCCACACAGAGGGCAATTGACCCTCAGAAGCGACTGCGCAAACGGCTTTTGGCCTGTTTATTACCTCCGTCGACCGCGCTGCTCCTACACTGCATTACTACCACTCTCTCTGACTGCATCGCCGCCATTGCTACGTCAAAGATAGATATCCTAGAGTACCGCTATCCACCTACTATTATTGTTTACTACCGCATAACTCTTCCGCGACCCTTCAGTCTCTCGACACCATCATGTCTGTAGCGCTGCCAACACACCCCAAGTCTTCGGACCGCAAGGTCGTCTACCTGCTGCCATTGACCGACTACGGCGTCCCAGACGTCGCTGGCACTTACATCTACCTGCCTCCCCCCACCAACCCAGCATACTCGATTTGCTTTCAGATCCAGGGTACCAGCTCGATATGTCGCGAGGGCAGTCTCTGGGTGAACATCCCCGCTGAGGGCGAGAAGTTCAAGCGCAGCCAGTACCGCGAGTACAAGTAAGCAGCCCGTCGTGCCTTTCCTGGTCACATGTCACTGACACACACCGCAGACTGCAGCCCAACTTTACTGGCATGTGTGAGATTGAGATCCCCGTCCACGAGGCCAATGCCTTTTCCTTCTACACGACCTACACACCGCTGCCGCAGTGGTCCTTCACAGACGTTGCGTCGCCTGAACCCACGCGGACGGACACCTACTACATCGACATATGTCCAAATCTCAAGCTGCAGGGCGAGCACTTGCCGGTCGAGGCCGTCTGCATCATCTCTTGCCTGTCCAAATTCATGGGCAACTACCCGACAGACTGGGACAACCACCTGCAGGGTATGAGCCAGCGTGGCTTCAACATGGTGCACTTTACACCCTTGATGATGCGCGGATCTTCAAACTCGCCCTACAGTATTTACAATCAATTGGAGTTCGACAAGGCCATCTTCAAAGAGGGCGAGAAGGACATTGCGAACATGATCCGAAAAATGCAGAACGAGTTCAATCTGCTTGCCATGACCGATGTTGTCTGGAACCACACGGCCAACAACAGCCCATGGCTCGAAGAGCATCCAGAATCCGGCTACAACGTCGACACCGCTCCACACCTGCGACCTGCTCTCGAACTCGATACAGCGTTGTTGCAGTTCAGCAAGGACCTCTCCAAACATGGTCTACCCACCATCTTCAACAGTGAAGATGACCTTCTCAAGGTCATGCAAGGTGTCAAGGACCACGTCCTTAGCAAGGTCAAGCTCTGGCAATTCTACGTCATTGACGTCGAAAGAGACACCAAGGCCATCATGGAGGCTTGGACCTCTGGCCAGGCCAAGTTTGTTGATGGCAGCTTTAGTGAAGCTGGTCTTCGCGGGCTCGATGCTGTCAGGAACTGGCCACTGAAGCAGAAGGCAGACTGGTTGGTCGAGCATGCTCTGCGCGGCGGTGACCGCATGGGCGAGCGCTACCGTCGGACAATGGACCCGAACATCGCTGCTAGCCTACTGTGCGCCTTGTTCGGTCGCTACGACACCCGTACTAGCAATACTCCTGACGACCGGGCTGCTCAAGGCACCATGACGGCTATGCTCAACGAGGTCAACCTTCCATTTTACCGCGAGTATGACCAAGACCAAGCAGAGATCATGGAGCAACTCTTCAACCGGACCAAGTACGTCCGAATGGATGCCCATGGTCCCAAGCTTGGCGAAGTCAACGATGCGAACCCCCTCATCGAGACCTACTTCACGCGCCTACCACTCAACGAGACCACGAAGAAGCACAACCCCGAAGCTCTTGCACTGGTGAACAACGGATGGGTATGGGCTGCAGATGCGATGCGAGACAACGCTGGGCCCAAGTCAAGAGCATACCTGCGGAGAGAGGTCATTGTCTGGGGCGACTGTGTCAAGCTCCGATACGGAGATGGCCCAGAGGACAACCCTTTCCTTTGGGATCACATGGCCAAGTACACCCGCCTCATGGCCAAATATTTCCAAGGATTCCGCATCGACAACTGCCATTCCACCCCTCTGCATCTCGCGGAATACATGCTTGACCAAGCACGCAGCGTCAACTCAAACGTTATGGTCTGCGCCGAGCTCTTCACTGGGTCTGAAGAGATGGATTACAAGTTTTGCATGAAACTCGGAATCTGCGCCTTGATCCGAGAAGCTATGCAGTCATGGAGTACTCAAGAGCTGAGCAGACTTGTTCACCGTCACGGCGGTGTTCCTATCGGCAGCTTCGAGACCGACGAAGTGCTCAATGCTGCGCAGGCGACTGATGGAGCTGACCAGACAAAGCCTATCATCAAGAAGATCAAACGCAGTCCTGTCCACGCCTTGTTCATGGACTGCACGCACGACAACGAGACGCCAGCTCAGAAGCGGGACGCACGCGACACGCTCCCCAGTGCCGCGCTCGTCGCCATGTGCGACTGCGCGACTGGTAGCGTCTTCGGTTACGACGAGTGCTACCCTGAACTGATCGAGTTGGTGCACGAGAAGAGACTGTATTCCTCTGCCAATTCCACAGGAGGCGAAATCAAAGCACAAGCTGGAGAAGGTGGTATTGGTGGCATCCGCAAGATTATCAACGAGATCCACGTCAAAATGGGCAAGGAGGAGTACAATGAGACTTATATTCACCACGACAACGAATACATTACCGTCCATCGGGTCAACCCTCACACCAGGAAAGGTTACTTCCTTATTGCCCACACCGCATTCCCTGGCTACGGCAACGGCAATGGAGGCTTCGGCAAGACCAAGCTACCAGGCACTCAAGCAAAGCTCGTCGGCGCCTGGAATCTCGAAGTCGACAACAGTCCCGAGACAAGAGCACGTATCATCGGTGACGAGACGACACTGCGCGGCTTGCCCAGCAAGACAAACGAACTTCAAGGCGTCAACATCGAGGCTACCGGCGATGATACCACGATTAGTATCCCTGACAAGTTCCCACCCGGCAGTATCGCTCTCTTCGAGACCTGGGTACCCAGCGCAGAGCACGCTGAAGGCCTCGACAAGTTCGTCACTAGCGGAGCGCGTTCGGCTTTCAGTGGTGTGAACCTCATCGACCTCAACTACATCCTATACAGATGTGAAGAGGAAGAGAGGGACGCTACGGACCACAAAGACGGAACATACAACGTCCCAGGCCATGGAAACTTGGTCTACGCTGGTCTGCAAGGCTGGTGGAGTGTTCTACGCGACATTGTGAACGAGAACAACCTTGGCCACCCACTCTGCAACCATCTGCGTGAGGGTCAATGGGCGCTCGACTACTGCCTTGGTCGTCTTCAAAATATCTCCAAGAAGCCGGAGTACGTCAACATTAAAGGCCCCGCCGAATGGTTGGAAGCGAAGTTCGATGCCATTCGTAAGGTCCCCAGCTACATGCTTCCGCGCTACTTTGCTCTCGTCATCCAGACTGCATACAACGCTGCAGTCGAGCGAGCCATTGAGCTCATGGGCGAGAACGTCCGCGAGGGTAACCAGTTCCTCAAGAGTCTTGCTCTTGTCAGCTGCCAAGTGACCGGTTACATGAACAGCGCCTCGTTGTGGCCCGAGAAGAGCGTACCCAGCATGGCCGCTGGTCTCCCTCACTTTGCCTACGACTGGGCGCGATGCTGGGGACGTGACATTACCATCTCAGCCCGTGGTCTTTACATGGGAACTGGCAGATATGCCGACGCTAAGGAGCATATCTTTGCCTTTGCCAGCGTCTTGAAGCATGGCATGGTCCCTAATCTCCTCGGTGGTGGCAAGAACCCACGTTACAACTCCCGCGACTCAGTCTGGTTCTTCCTCCAAAACTGCCAAGATTACTGCAAGATTGTGCCCAATGGCATGGAGCTTCTTCAAGAGAAGGTCAAGCGCCGCTTCTTGCCGTACGATGACACCTGGTTCGCTCACACCGACGAAAAAGCGTACTCCCAGTCCTCCTCCATCGCGGAAGTCATCCAGGAAGCTCTCCAGCGACACGCCTCCGGCATAGAGTTCCGGGAGTATGACGCGGGCCCGAACATTGACAGCCAAATGAAGTCCGAAGGCTTCAACATCAAGATCTGGACAGACTGGGAGACTGGTATGATCTTCGGTGGCAACCAATCGAATTGCGGCACATGGATGGACAAGATGGGTGAGAGTGAAAAGGCCGGCAGCAAGGGTGTCCCCGGTACCCCACGAGACGGTGCTCCAGTTGAGATCATCGGCATGTTGTACAGCACAGTACGCTGGTGCGCCGACATGTACGACGCAGGCCAGTTCAAGTACGAGGGCGTTACCCTGGACGACGGCAAGAAGACCGTTACCTACAAGGAGTGGGCCGACCTGATCAAGGCCAACTTCGAACGCTGCTTCTACGTTCCTCGTTCGGCAGAAGAAGACAGCAAGTACGACGTTAACTCGAGCATCGTCAACCGTCGTGGTATCTACAAGGACTTGTACCGCTCAGGCAAGGAGTACGAGGACTACCAGCTGAGGCCAAACTTCCCTATTATGATGACGGTTGCACCGGACCTCTGCGATCCTGAGCATGCCTTGTATGCCCTCCAGATGGCGGACAGGGTATTGCTCGGTCCCCAGGGCATGAAGACACTCGACCCCTCTGACCTCAACTACCGCGGCTACTACATCAATAGCGAAGACTCGACCGATTTCGCCACATCCAAGGGCCGCAACTACCACCAAGGACCCGAGTGGCTCTGGCCCACAGGCTTCTTCCTGCGAGCTCTACTCAAGTTCGATCTCAAGCGCCGCAAGACGCCCGACGAACGCGTCGAGAGCTACCAACAAGTCACGCGCCGCCTCGCCGGCTGCATGAAGGCTATCCAAGAGTCGCCGTGGGCTGGTCTCACGGAGCTCACCCAGAAGGACGGCGCCTTCTGCGGCGACTCGTGCCCCACGCAGAGTTGGAGTGCTAGCTGCATTATCGACTTGTTCCAGGATGCGCGCGAGTACGAGACCGAGGGGCAGCAAGCTTCGTCGTAGGCTGATAAGTTTGGTTTCATGAGCCTCGTTGCGAAGATGAGCTGAAAGGTGTGTATACGTGGTAAGGTGGTGTAGATGGTGGTGAGAGACCTTTTGTTGTAGATACCTAGAGTAGTCTCTCCTAATTAACCTTGAATTCTTACCTCTTGTTCATCATGACCTTTATGTCCTACAGCTATTCTTTGTGTTTCTCCACGCTGCTAGGTAGATTGTCGTCGTCACTGACATGCTCTCGAGTCTCGACAGACTTGTTGATGTATGAGATACAAGCTGTGTGTCCATATTCGTGCGCGATGCGTAGGAAAGGGGAGCAGACTGTAGGAACGAAGGATCGCGTTACGGTAGGGATGAATGCGATGGTTGTAGAAGCCCAGACTGCGATTCCTGTCTCTGTGGTGAATGCGCTGGTGGCAGTGAGCTTGGGTGATGGTAGACGGGGGTCCCTCAAAGATACAAAGTCGCCACTGTACTCGCGGTCAGCACATCAGCTTTGCTGCGTCTCTCTTCGGGAGGCACTGGAGACCCTGAAAGAAAGGGATTCCGGATAGAAACGATGGTGGTGGCGAGTTCAGATAGCACATATAGGGATCGCGAGTTCAGATAGCAAATGTAGGGATCATCGCTGACATTGATGATAAGGCAGCAGCTGTGAAAGCAGGCGAACTATCACTGATGAAGGTATGAGTTGCAAAGAGCAAAGCGAGTGAATCGTGATTGCCAAGAGTACACAGTGCAGTCGCTGCGCATCTAATGGTGGATTTTTCACTCCCTCCAGCCTACATCCAATCTCACACCTACTAGCCCCCATCGCGACATCGCTGCTAAACCACACAGCCTCGACAACAACAACTTACCCCCCAGCCAACGAGAACCGAGAAACGCCTATCAAATACAACCCAAAATGGCCAATCACTTCCCCTCCTACGATCCTCACGACCCACTGATGCGCAGTTACCAAGTCGCTCTCCACAGGCACGCCACCACGCCGCCCCAACAGCCCACTCCCTCGCAGCCCTCGTCCACAAGCGTCATCGCCGCACCAGCCACCAGCATGTCACAGGACTCCATCCACGGGCGCTTCCTGGCAGCCGCCATGAAATGCGACACTAGGGCCATGCAACAAGAGTTCCACCATCTGCTGTCGGTTGCAGAGAGCCGAAACCAAGACTGTCTATTTCTGAAACGGCGGCACGAGCACGAGGTCGAGGCGAATCACGGCGAAATGGATTGGATGCGAGCAAGGATTCAGTGCTTGGAAGAGGAGATGCGCCGCGTTGCCGAATACAAGAAGAATGCTGGACGGGCTTGCTACAGCCTGGATCAGATTGGAGATGTGCAAAGTAGGTGACCCAACGTCAACGTAGGCTCCAGGGTATTCCGTTTTTCCCTTGAATGAGGTGGCCGCATCAAAGGGAGGTCAGGTGGGTAAGATTGTGTGTCGTGTAGACAAGGTCTTCCCGGCAAAACCTGGCTGTAAGCGCTCATCCTGCGCAGTATCGAGTATAGAGAGAAACGATTGTGTGGTAGTCGCAGGCCCATCTCGACATACGGCATTCGCGCTCTAGGGGTCGGTTAGATTTGCCTTCTGGCGCTGTAGTGCCAATAGCCTACACAAAGTTTATTGCTTCTTCTGGAATCCTCTCGCGTTATCAGCCTCTTCGGTTCTCAAAGAAAAGGGTTCAATTGCGCCATTGTTCGCTGAGGAAGAGGCTGTCGGATGGCTGCTGCACACAAAGGTGCGCTTGCTTTTCTTCCTACCGATCAGAATGTCGTGCATGAAGAAGCACTGTAGCTACCCGTACCTTGACTCTTTCGGGACGAGCGGCTGTGCACGCCGGCTCCAGTCAGCGGAAAAGCAAAATCCATATACTGAACGGTGTTAGTTGTCTCCATGAGCGAGTTCATTTTTACGACAACTGCCTCATTTGGACGCTTATCGTCCGTACGATCGTCCGTACAATAATTCGTGGATCGTACTACCACGCTGCTGGGTGTGCATCCATCATCTGGAACGTCGGCTTCCTGCGGCAAAGTTCGAGTCAGCACACCCAGGCGCGAATCATCTCCCCTTCATCTTTGCCACGGCCCTGCGCAGTGCTAGGAACGATGCGCAACATTGCCTCTCGCATGAAGTTTAGATGTTGGTTTAAGGTACGGATGCGGCCCGGATGGTGCCCCACAGTTCAGGATAATTGCCATGAAACGCTTGGTCAATGCTTCAGGTGAAGCAGTCGCCGTTGAGAAAGGGTCGACGAGGCCTTCGCGGCGAGGCGTTTGTTCTGATGGCGTTGCACTCTGTGAGATATCGGTGTGAGTGTCGAGATTTTCTTGCGCGGGAGGTGCAGGGCGTGGATCATCCTTGGAGGTCAGCATACTCGCGTAAGCGGCACAGCGTAATCATGTCTCTAACGTCTTTCTCACCCGGCAACGAGCCGAGGCATAAGGGTCATCATTTGAAAAGGAATCCCGAAAGGGGCGTCCCCCAAAAGAAGGGCCGATGGTGGATAGAGTGACAGTCTTTCAGCTGTTTGCGGTCCAAGGCTGCAGCGACTAGTCGGCAGTCACTTGGCTGGGGCCCAGGACGCTGGAATTTGGAAAGTACTACAGGCCAATCACACTGCGTGTGGACAAGCATGGTGCTGTTCGCGTATATGCACGCGTTGGCAATCCACTGTAAATATGCTGACTGGCAAATGAGGTATGGATAGTCGTGAGAACGAGGTTAGCTGCTCTGTCTGCCAGATAACGCATGCGAGGCATCGCCAGGCACGAACAGGCGTGATCTGAACATGATTGCGAAGCTGACGATTGCGCCATCTCAGCCTTATCACATTGCTGAGCATGCGATGCGTGAGCAAGTCGCACCAGAAGAGTTTGCACAGCAGAGACTGTCGCTCACTTACAAGTAAAAGGTCTGGGCTTCCAGCTTTCTCTCGCACGGATTGCTTAAGCTAACCTGGACGGGGGCGTCGTGCATCTCAAGGTTCGATGCTGCGATGTCGTGCAGGCACGCATACATGCCTAAGCGAATGATTGACGGCCAAGGTCGCCACACAGACGTGAGGAAGTTTGCTAGAGGGTGGGTCTGTACTGCCGGTGTGAGCCAAACATTCACCCTGCGGTGTCTGAGCTTGATTGGCGCAACGTCTCTTCAAAGTCCGTGGTCGGTCTTTGAGAGATTATTAGCGTCGTTTTGGTGATGCAGGCGAGGCGGGGAACGACTCCCGGTGACAGGGATGTGCGAATGTAAACCTAGGGCTTAGCACTCGCATGGCTCAACCGCATTGATGGACTCGCTAGCTACGACGTGCCCATGCGAGCAACATACGTGTTCTATACGGGCGTCCGTGATAACCATGGTAGGCCGGATGATTAAGTCCGCCAGGTGGATCTGACCGTGAACAGACGTGCTGCTATGCAAGCAGAGGATGAATGCAAGGAAGGCATCGATTCATCGATCTGCAGATAGAGCAATCGGATAGTGGCAAGGTAATCGCCTCGGGCCTAAGCTTGGGCTGATGATGAGTGCCTTGGCTTGTGGTGTAACAATCAGGATAATGACCTTGTACCACGACAGGAAACACTCGTGAAACTTGCGGGAAAGCTGATCAGGAAGATAACAGAGCCAGGAACTCGGCCCGCTGGTGATTTTGCGGCATCCCGTAGGGCTCTCGATGCTCGGGGAAGCAGACGGCGACTTCCTGTGCGCATTGTCGAATGCGCTGCACAGTCAATCTGGCTAGAGCCGTGAAAGACTTGCATTATCGCTTGCAGGTTTGGGGACGCATGTTGTTTGAATCGCCCAGACACGATAGTATAGTAGTGGGCGAATACGCCCCCCACATGAAGAGTTATTTTGATACTGGGAGCAGAAGGATCTTCCTTTGCGGCGTGGCAGGCCGATAGCTCTGTAGGATCGCCATGCAGCTACCCGAAGGTCACGACGACAGGCAGGTCTGATCACTGATCAGGTCATTTCGGCGTACAAGGTGATGGACAGTAGCTTAACTTTATTCCAGCTCTTGCACACCGTTTAGTGTCTGGTTGAAAATGTCCGCGTTTTGACGTTCTCGTAGACGAGGTCCCTCGAGCGTAGTCATCGGTCAGGGAGGAGGCAGGGGCGGGTCACGAGCCAATCAGAGGGGGGTCGAGATACCAAGACAGGCACTTGTTTGGAAAAGCGCGCGCGGGAGGATTCCTATTCGGTCCGGTAATTGAGAGTCGCCCATGTCGCATCGGTGAAGGCAATGGGGCGAGAGATGTTGCAGGGCACTAACATGGCCGTTGGATGCGTCAGGAGGGTGCAGCTGTAGCCTGCCGCCTGGCGCCACAAGCACCGTTGAGTGCTAGCCGAAACAGCAAATGGCGAGATGAGAGCTAGCGACTAACGGTTTTGGGAGGCCGAGGAGGAGGTTCTGATATGGCGGCATCATGGCGGGCGTGTTGAGGTGCTGCCACTCGTGTGGTGAGGCACTTGGCGGAGTGGTTTGGAGGGGCGGGCGGCTGGCGGCTGAGGGCGGCACAGTCATCAGGTCAGAGGTACTCCGGAGTAAGCGACGTCAGCGTTTCCAGCGTCGTTTCTAGAGCAGTGTTTGCAGCATCGCATCTCCCGTTGCAGCGCGTCGTTGTCGCGGCGCGTCGGTGGCCGAGACGGGAAGCCCACAGTTGCGTTCTTTCGGCTGCAGCCGCAGTCGTCCAAAGAAGCAAAGGGACACCCTGGCGGAGAGGCAGATTGGAGGACGAATATGGGACGGGCATGGGACGGTCACGTGGGGCCGGGCTAGGTAAGCAGCTAGCCGCAGTGGGCGCACAGCCGGGAGGACGTAGGGAACAGAACAGAACACGGAAGCCTGAGGACACGGGGGTGTTTCCCTCAGCCAGTCAGGGGACAGCACACCGTCTAGATGGAAGCACAGGCTGAAGGTCACTGAGGGTCACTGTGGTCACTCGTGAGGTGTGTTCTCGTCGCGCCTCGTCGCGCCTCGTCATGTCGTGCGCTCGGGGGCGGGCGGCAGCTCGAGTCTGGCAAGATTGGCATGCCACAAGCGGATCTCCAGCCGTCAGCCCCGAGCCCCTTAGCGCTTCGCACGCTTCCGCGTCTGGCGTCCCGCCGTGCGAGGCCCATGTCCAGCATGGGTGGCAGGGTGGCGGTGGGCGGGCGACATGGGGGCATGGGTTCGTCGACGGCATCAGGTCCCCGCTGCATGCCATCTCAAGTGGGCCCCAGCGCGCTCTTTCACAGTGCAGCAGCAGCGCCTTCCCCCGCAGCGCGCGCAAACCAGTGACATGCCCTGTCCCTCAACTAGGGCCGCCAGCCGCTTCTTCCAGTGCGGGCCCAGCACTGCACTCGAGCTGCTGCATCGCTAGACCCCTTCCACCCTTCCCGTGAGACCCTACTCCTTGTGCGACCCTGCCCTTCTTCCTCAGCACAACTTCCTCACCGCGTCGCCAGACCGCCAGACTCAAATACAGCGCCCGAATGCCATGATGGGAAGCGACTGGCATCCACGCAGGCACCCGCAGCCCGACCCCAACCACTTTCCCCAGCGGACCCTCCCCAGCTTTGCTGAGCTGACCTCGTCGTCCGACTCAGTCCTGCACCGCCCGCGTGACAACGTGCCGCCGCCGCCGACGCCCCAAGATCGTCCTGTCTCGCACCAGACGCCGCCGGCCACGCTCGCTGCCCTCGACTTTGCGCATCCAAACTCGCATTCCAGCTCCTTCACCGCAGTCAATCACGCGAGCCCGCACGTCAGGTAAGTTCCGACAAGTGACAGAGCCTGCCGCAAGCGTGCTGACCTGCTGGCCAGCCCCACCAACACCAGAATTCCACCACTGGGCCCCGAACATCAACCATTTTCTCTCTCTCTGCCCCAGGGCCCAATTGCTGCCTACAGTCCGCCTGTCTCTTCCTCTGCATCTTCGCATCCACCACCACATCCGTCCGCCAGCGTCCGCCAAGACTCGGCCATCTCCCATCGCTTCGAAAACTCAAAGGAATCCGAACCTACTCTCCCCTCCTCTGTGCTGGCCTTTTCTTATTTCCACCCTGCTGCGGGTAATGGTCGTCAGTCTAACACGTCCCGCCCCATCTCACATCCAGCTGCGCCTTCCTCGCCACGCTCTCCAGCGAGCGACAATCGCTCAAATCAGGTACCCGTAGAGACAGGAACCCGCCATCCAAACGGTGCACCTTCCCCATCATTATCCTCAGGGCCTCACGCTTTCACGGAATCGTCCAGGTCGCCAGAGCAGGCTCGAGACGTTAACCCAGAATCTGGATCCAGGAGACCACTCCCATCTCCCACATTAGACCAAACAAACAGTGGCGGGCGACATCAACGCTAC